AGGATAACCTATGGCACTCTACTTGATGATTTTCAAGTAATCATAAAGAAGAACATGCCACATGGCATGGCAGTTGACACCCCCAATTGCCAAAGGGTTAAGACAAATCTGGAACAGGCCAGCAGTTGTAACTGTCATTAACTGCCCCTTCAATTCAGCCTTTGCTGTAGGACGAGTAGGGAATACTTTCCTACAAGTAGTGAGCCCGGGTTAAGTATACTGGCAGAAGCAACAATAGACTTATATGGCTGGGTTTGGTGCGATTTTGTGGTTGCAAAAGTATTTAAAAAATAGGAGTTTAAGGATTTGTAAAAAGGTAGCATTTTGGGAATGAAAATACAAGTGTTTAGGGATAATTGTGTGGTTGTTCTAAGCACTGTGAACAGTGACGTGAATAGTAACCTTATTGGATAGAAGAAGAAGAAGAAGAAGAAGAAGAAGAGAGAGAGAGAGAGAGAGAGAGAGAGAGAGAGAGAAGTGCTTCACCCTCGCAAGGGATAGGCCAGTTACACAAATACAATCTCAAAATTTCATAATATTGACTCTGTTTTTTGAATAATTGAGATTACACATATTTATAGGCTAAAGACTCCTAATTCTATGAGGACTATTTCTCAAATTTAGAAATTAAAAATATTTAGTAACTGCTAATATTCTAGACAAACTATGACTTCTAATTCTACTTCAATCATAATAGGTAACTTTAATGGCTTCTAATTTTACTTCAATATCAATATAGGAAACTTGAACTTTTGACCACTAAGATTATTTCAGACATAATATATATAATAACCCATTTAATAACTTGACCAAAAATAAAACCCATGGGTGACCCTTACAACCCATGTCCAACAATTATTGAAATTACCATCATACCCTTAATTACTAAAACCTACTATAATGACATGAAGACTCAAAATTATTTGAAATCTTTAATTCTTGATGCCCTGAATATGCTTCATGTGAAATTTCAAATTTGCTCTTTTTCTTCTTTCCATAATCTTCATCATTCTCCCTTCTATTCGAAAAAATTCGACCTCGAGTTTTATAATGTTGAAGTATAAGGATTATGGAATCTCGCACTTGAAGCCATTCAACTTGATTGTTTGGAATGAATGATGAGAAAATCAAAAAGTTCAATGTTGTCATCACTCCATTGACCACATCGAATTTGTCAAGAATAATAAACTCAATGTGAACTTCATTTTTCTTGTGAAGAGGTGAAAGTTCAGTTACGTTCTCATCATTCTCTTTGGCTTCCTTGGCTTTAGAACATTGATCATGATGATTTTTCATGCTTTCTTTAGTAAGCAAATTAATTTTCGCCTTCATTTCTTCAATATCCTCAATGTTAGCAGCACATTCATCTTGTTCTTTCATAGTTTCTTCAAAATCTTCAACACTATCATCCTTTTGCTCCTAGATAGTAGTCTTCTCTAAAACAGCAGCCAATAACATCAACATGGAAGCTTTCAAACCATTTAAAGTTGTTTCGATAGTATGCACATCACTCTTTATTGTTGCAACATCCTCCTTAATTATCGCAAAATCCTCCTTTAAAATCGCAACATCTTTGTTAGTAGCTCTATAACTTGTTGACAAGGTTTCAAAATTCCAATTTAATTCAATGCTTGTCAACATTGTAATAAAGAAAGCGATTTCATCAAAAGATTAGTAAGGAACAAGGTAGGATCTTAAAGCTCTGATACCAAATTGATGTAGGACGAGTAGGGAATACTTTCCTACAACTAGTGAGCCCAGGTTAAGTATAGTGGCAGCAGCAACAATAGACTTATAGGGCTAGATTTGGTGGGATTTTGTAGCTGCAAAAGTATTTAAAAAAATAGGAGTTTAAGGATTTGTAAAAAGGTAGGGTTTTGGGAATGAAAACACAAGTGTTTAGGGATAATTGAGTGGTTGTTCTAAGCATTGTGAACAGTGACGTGAACAGTAACCTTGCTGGATAGAAGAAGAAGAAGAACAAGAACAAGAAGAGAGAAGTGCTTCACCCTCGCAAGGGATAGGCCAATCACACAAATACAATCTCAAATTTTCATAATATTAACTCTGTTTTTTGAATAATTGAGATTACACATATTTATAGGCTAAAGACTCCTAATTCTATAATGACTATTTCTCAAATTTAGAAACTAAAAATATTTAGTAACTGTTAATATTCTAGACCAACTATGACTTCTAATTCTACTTCAATCATAATAGGTAACTTTAATGACTTCTAATTTTACTTCAATATCAAAATAGGAAACTTGAACTTTTGACCACTAAGATTATTTTAGATATAATAAAACCCGTATATAATAACCCTTTTAATAACTTGACCCAAAATAAAACCCATGGGAGACCCCTACAACCCATGTCCAACAATTGAAATTACCATTATACCCTTAATTACTAAAACCTACTATAATGACATGAATACTCAAAATTATTCCAAATTTTTAATTCTTGATGCCCTGAATATGCTACATGTGAAATTTCAGATTTGCTCTTTTTCCTCTTTCCACGATCTTCATCAGCCTTGCTTGTTAGTCAATTGTAATTGCCCATAACCGCTGTTATAATTCTACTGCCTTGTCTGTGCCTTAGACAAATTTGAACTGCCCATGTGACCAGTCAAACAGAGCCCTGAATTCCATCTGTTGGTCTTGGTAAAGCCCATGTCAAGCCATCTGATTGTGTCAAACCCCTAAGTGTGCTGCAACCCACATTCAAGTCATATTAATGCCTTGCATCTGTCATGCTACTCACACTTGGCCAAGAGTTTAGTGCTGCCGCCGCCGAACGACACAACTCTTTGCCCCACCTCGTCACATTGGCATGCCTCCCTCATGCCTTGGCCTGAGTCTGACATAGGTGCAAGGTGCCACCAAATGCCAGCTAACTAGCCCTCAAAACTCTAGGTGCTAACAATTGGCCACTTCATTGTCAAATTGTTTTGCCCTTATGAAAGGCTGTGGCCATTCTTGAGTCATTAGAGACGATGTGATGAGTTTTCTTTTCTTATTTTCATGATCATAGGAGATTTGAGAAGAGTTTGCATGCGTCTTTCATGGCTTTGATTCCAAAGCAAAGGAGATTAAATACTTTAGGCCCGTTAGCTTAATTTGGCTAAGGTGTTGGTTGGGCGCTTTAAGGAGGTGATACCTTACCTTATTTCAGAGTCCAAAATGCTTTTTTTAGTGGTCATAAAGTCTTTAGATGTGATGTTGACTAATGAAGTGGTGGATTCTCGACTTAGAAGTAGGGTTCCTAGTTTGATTTTAAACTTGACATTGGGACTTGACCATGTTGGGATAGATTCACAATAAAAAGAAGAAATAAAGAGGAAGAGAGAGAAGCAAACAATTGGCATGCTAATGACAGAGACTTGTTCAGAATTAGGGTTCTCCTAGACACTTATATTTATAATATTAGGGTTGGTTTTGGAATAGGCTATCTTAGTAATTTTTTTGCTTTTTGGCTAAAATATGAGGTGGAAAAAAAGTACATTTAGTATATTTTTTGGCTTTTTACAAAAAAACATGCAAAATGTAGAAAAAAAAATGGAAATCTTTGTCTTTTTTGTATGGTTCTTTGACTTTCTGACTTTTTGGCTATTATTATAACTTCCCAAACTTTCCCTTAGTAAGATCTAAAGTACATAAATACCCCTTGGACTAAAATAAAATGTAACATATACCATTTCCCCTCAAATTGATGCGAAGATATCTTTCATGTCCAACTTGCAAACAATGGGCTAAAAACCTTACTACTAACACTTTTAGTGAATACATAAGCCAACTAGGCTTTGACTTTACAAAAGGCATATAAATCAAACCTATAATTAACTTCTTGTATATGAAGTGTGTCAATTACAATATGCTTGGTTCTTTCATGTTGAATTGGATTATAAGAAATACTGATGATAACTTTGTTAACGCCTAAGAAGCTCAAACACTTCTATGGAGGATACGTGTCATGTTGGACATGACACTATGGACACCTTCTAAAAGTGTGTCTGACACTTCTTCATCATGTCTTTATTAAACATTTAAATTCATAATATCAGACACTTTAAGGACATTTCTTGAGCTCTTTGAACACGGCCTGTGTGATGAGCTTCATAGTAACAATATTTTGCATTCTTTGGAATTTAATGCAGTGTAAATATATTTTGAAACATTTGTAAGTTGAATATATGTATTACAATGTTCTACAATTGTTTTGCATTCTTTATAATGCAATTGTTACATGAATTAATTATGAAATATATGGCTTCTTCTTCTTCTTCTTCTTCTTCTTCTTCTTCATTATCATCATCATCTTCTTCTTCTTCTTCTTTTATTTTTATTTTTATTTTTATTTTTATTTTTATTTTTTTTGGTTTTTTCCCCCATTACTTGGGTAGTTCCTTAGGTATGGGCTTCCCCTTGAGGTGCCCCACAAGTCGCTCTTCAACCTTTGGCATGCACCAAGTCATCCTTTTAAGCTATCTTTTGGTGAGGGCCTATAGGTTTTTGTATGCACCTCATGCATGGAGGTTTCTGCCCCTTCTGGTGGTTTTTCTGAGTTTATATCTTTTATTATTAAAAAAAAATTAAATTGTGACTCAAGATGGAGTAATATGGGCAAAGTGAATTCCTGTACATGCCGATCAAGAAAAAAAAGAAAAAAAGAACGAAAAGATAATTCATGCAAATGACCCAAGATGTCAATTCCCTGGTTTTTTTGAATTGATTGATTCAAGTGAATCTTTATAATATCCAAAAACTCTACTTGAGATGTGCTAAAAACACAATCATTATTTCCTCAGCATCTTATTGTAGAACTAATAAGCAATATCTAGCTTCCTTCTCTCTTCCCATCATTGCTCAAAATGACTGACTTTCACTGATTAAATCTTGTACTTTGCATGATTTTGTTCATACTTTTGTGTTTGATGATCATTTGAAATTGTTCTTATATTTGTCAACCTCAACTTTTTGCTCTTTGTGCTCTAGGCTGAAGCTGAGCTTATATCTTCTATTGTCACCTTTTTCAAGCGAATTGGGATCACAGCATCAGATGTTGGGTTTAAGATTTCAAGCCGGAAGGTACAAACTATCCCTTTTTCTTTTTGTATCAATTTAATATTCTAATAACCATAGGATCACCATCACCTTTTCTGCAATTCCCCTGTCACTTTCATGTAAACCCGGCAAAGTCTTTGTGTAGTTGAAGCTTTATAACATGTTTTTTTACTCCTGAGTTATCTAAAATTAATTGAGCTTCAGCATTAGCTATTTGTTCTCTTGAACTAAGTTTTTGATTAAAGTAATATGGAAATACTTCAAATTGCATTACTAGTTCATTTATTGTCAAGTAAATGTTACAAAATGATAATAGTTTGATGTTGGCCTAGGTTTCAAAATATGAATTATGATAATTTAAAATGGAGAACTTTATGAAGTGAGTGTTAGATGTCCCATGAGTTCCAGAGATAAACGAGTACCCATTAGACTAAAAGGGAAGTTCTATGGAACGACTATTAGATTGGCGATGTTGTATGGGACGGAATTTTGGACAACTAAGAAACAACAATGTAGATAAGAAGAGTATTGTTGAGATGAGGATGCTAATGTGAATGTGTGACAAAACTAGAAAAGACAGAGTTATGAATGAGTATATTTGAGAATGGGTAGGAGTAGTACCGATAGAAGATAAGTTGAGAGAGAATAGATTAAGATGGTTTGATCATATACAATGGAGACCAACAGAGGCAGTAGTGAAGGATTGCAACACAGTGATGGTAGTTAGTAGTGTTAGGGGAAGGGGTTAACCAAAATTGACGTGGACTAGTGTAGTAAATAGAGATATGAATCTCCTTAATTTGACTAATGAAATGGCCTTGGATAGACTCAAGCGGAGAAGAAGGATTTATGTAGTCAATCCTATTTGATGGGACTTAAGGCTTGGTTTTATTTGGTTTGGTTTAGTTTGGTTTAGTTTTGTCAGATACCCCAAAATCTAGCAAGCGTACCTCCAAATAAATGGACAGAACTAAACTAATAAGCAGCCTCATGATTTTCAGAGATATCGTATAGAATAAATGACTAAATGAAACTCAATTCAACTACTACCAACTAACAATCAAGTAGTTAATTACATGTAATAAAGTTTGCAATCATGCCTATGTGATACCATATGGCAGCAGCAGCAGCAGGAGGGAAAGAAAGTACAGATGAAGAACGAAGTTGGAGACAAGAGAGAGATGCAGAGAATAGCATAGGAAGACATAGAAAGGAAGAAGTTGCAGGGAAGAAGTTCCTGTGGATGCAAACAGAGTTGAGAAGGAGATACCAGCACAGAGGAGAAAACAGCAACATAGAAGAAGAAATATATATAGAAAATTAGAAGAAACATAGAAATAAATGCAGAAAAGAAGAAGAAACAGAGGAGGAGATGCTGAGAAGAACCTGTAGAGATGCAACACAGAGGTAGAACTGCAAATCAGCGGCAACAGAAATGCAGAGCTGGAGAGTAGAGAAAGGGAGACAACCCTATTCCCCGTAGCAGTGCCACCACTCTAGAGCCATATGGGTGGTCTCTTGAGTGATCATGTGACTAGCATGTGAATATGGGGACAACCCCACATCATAAGTTAAAACATAAAATAAAATTATAAATTTACCCCAAACCAAATGAAATAAATAGCTAGATAAAAGCAACTAAATCCTGAATTCCATCACAGTGGCACCTATTTTTCTTCGATAAAGTACAACTATAGAGTTGATTATTGGCAGTTATGGGTCATAAATTTATAATACAATGAGAGTTTTTATTTTAATGGAACCAATAAGGTCTTATTTTATGAATATGCTATGTTAAGTTCGTTGTTTAATGGATTGATTGGGCCCAGTGTTACCATAAAACACTTACACCCTAGCGATTTATGTATTGCAATGCACGTTCTGAAATATAGTACACTTATGTTCTAAAATAGTGAATTTAGCGATTCAAAGCGATCCCATAAATTATTTTTATTTTTATGTTTTTCATAAAAATTCAAATATAATGAATTAAAATTGAGATGGAGTGAAGTTTTTGATTGACAAAAAGTAAAACAGTGGGTGATAATACTCATAGAACTGTGTTGTTGAATAATTAATTTGAAGAAAATAAACTATTAATATATTGGATTTCAAATTAAAAAGTCTACCCATTTCATGCCACATTCCCATTCCTATTCCTCGTACCAGAACGATCCGCATTCTAGGTAACATATATTGGGCTGATCACATTTCAATATTTAGGGTTGAAAAGAATGGTTTGAGATATGATTTCAGGTGTAAAAGTGCAATAAAATTAAAAGAAAGAAAAGAGAATGAGGAGATGAAAGCACTGGTGGTATCATATCTAAATCCCATCGATATCACACCTAAGGTTAGTGTTGCATCATACCATTTTAAATGAGCTTCAAACGCTTAATTTTTTTTGAACTGATCTCCATTGAATAGAAAGAATCATTTAGGTCTTTATTGACTTTAAATAAATCTTTACTCTTGTAGGACTTTGATTCCATCTTTGGAGGCGTATTGTGTTTGTCTAGGCACATGTCCATTGAAATATAAATTTACTGTGTCGAAAAAATATGCAAAATGTAGAAAAAAAAAAGGGGGAATCTTTGTCTTTTTTGTATGGTTCTTTGACTTTCTGACTTTTTGGCTATTATTATAACTTCCCAAACTTGCCCTTAGTAAGATCTAAAGTACATAAATACCCCTTGGACTAAAATAAAATGTAACATATACCACTTCCCCTCAAATTGGTGCAAAGATATCTTTCATGTCCAACTTGCAAACAATGGGATAAAAAACCTTACTACTAAGACTTTTAGTGAATACATAAGCCAACTAGGCTTTTGACTTCACAAAAGGCATATAAATCAAACCTATAATTAACTTCTTGTATATGAAGTGTGTCAATTACAATATGCTTGGTTCTATCATGTTGAATTGGATTATAAGCAATACTAATGATAACTTTGTTGTCGCCTAAGAAGCTCAAACACTTCTATGGAGGAGACGTGTCATGTTGGACATGACACTATGGACTCCTTCTAAAAGTGTGTCTGACACTTCTTCATCATGTCTTTATTAAAAATTTAAATTCATAATACCAGACACTTTAAGGACACTTCTTGAACTCTTTGAACACGGCCTGTGTGATGAGCTTCATAGTAACAATATTTTGCATTCTTTGGAATTAAATGCAGTGTAAATATATTTTGAAATATTTATAAGATGAATATATGTATTACAATGTTCTACAATTGTTTTGCATTCTTTATAATGCAATTGTTACATGAATTAATTATGAAATATATGGCTTCTTCTTCATCATCATCATCATCATCATCATCATCTTCTTCTTTTTCTTCTTCTTCTTCTTCTTTTTTTTTTTTTTTTTTTTTTTTTTTTTTTTTTCGATTTTTCCCCCATTACTTGGGTAGTTCCTTGGGTATGGGCTTCCCCTTGAGGTGCCCCACAAGTCGCTCTTCGACCTTTGGCATGCACCAAGTCATCCTTTTAAGCTATCTTTTGGTGAGGGCCTATAGGTTTTTGAATGCACCTCATGCATGGAGGTCTCTGCCCCTTCTGGTGGTTTTTCTGAGTGTATATCTTTTATTATTAAAACAAAATTAAATTGTGACTCAAGATGGAGTAATATGGGCAAAGTGAATTCCTATACATGCCGATCAAGAAAAAAAAGAAGAAAACAACGAAAAGATAATTCATGCAAATGCTAGATGTCAATTCCCTGGCTTTTTTGAATTGATTGATTCAAGTGAATCTTTATAATATCCAAAAACTCTACTTGAGATGTGCTAAAAACACAATCATTATTTCCTCAGCATCTTATTGTAGAACTAATAAGCAATATCTAGCTTCCTTCTCTCTTCCCATCATTGCTCAGAATGATTGACTTTCACTGATTAAATCTTGTACTTTGCCTGATTTTGTTCATACTTCTGTGTTTGGTGATCATTTGAAATTGTTCTTATATTTGTCAACCTCAACTTTTTGCTCTTTGTGCTCTAGGCTGAAGCTGAGCTTATATATTCTATTGTCACCTTTTTCAAGCGAATTGGGATCATAGCATCAGATGTTGGGTTTAAGATTTCTAGCCGGAAGGTACAAACTATCCCTTTTACTTTTTGTATCAATTTAATATTCTAATAACCATAGGATCACCATCGCCTTTTCTGCAATTCCCGTCACTTTCATGTAAACCTGGCAAAGTCTTTGTGTAGTTGAATCTTTATAACATGTTTTTTTACTCCTGAGTTATCTAAAATTAATTGAGCTTCAGCATTAGCTATTTGTTCTCTTGAACCAAGTTTTTGACTAAAGTATTATGGAAATACTTCAAATTGCATTACTAGTTCATTTATTGTCAAGTAAATGTTACAAAATGATAACAGTTTGATGCTGGCCTAGGTTTCAAAATATGAATTATGATAACTTAAAATGGAGAACTTTATGAAGTGAGTGTTAGATGTCCCATGAGTTCCAGAGATAAACGAGTACCCATTAGACTAAAATGAAAGTTCTATGGAACAGCTATTAGACAGGCGAAGTTGTATGGGACGGAATTTTGGGCAACTAAGAAACAACATGTAGATAAGATGAGTGTTATTGAGATGAGGATGCTAATGTGAATGTGTGACAAAACTAGAAAAGACAGAGTTATGAATGAGTATATTTGAGAATGGGTAGGAGTAGTACCGATAGAAGATAAGTTGAGAGAGAATAGATTAAAATGGTTTGATCATATACAATGGAGACCAACAGAGGCAGTAGTAAAGAGTTGCAATACAGTGATGGTAGTTAGTAGTGTTAGGGGAAGGGGTTAACCTAAATTGACGTGGACTAGTGTAGTAAATAGAGATATGAATCTCTTTAATTTGACTAAAGAAATGGCCTTGGATAGAGTCAAGTGGAGAAGAAGGATTTATGTAGCCGATCCCATTTGATGGGACTTAAGGCTTGGTTTGATTTGGTTTGGTTTGGTTTAGTTTGGTATGGTTTTGTCAGATACCCCAAAATCTAGC